TAAGAATTGGATGTGATGCAAGAATGCTTTTAAAATACATATTTATAAATATATATAATGCGGTAAATACAGTTCAAGAAATTAACTTTTATATGTTAATATATGTTTTATATGTTAAAATAATATAATTTTAAAACAGGAAGTTTACGCCACAACTTTGATCTCTGCTAAGAATTGGATGTGATGCAAGAATGCTTTTAAAATACATATTTATATATATATAATGCGGTAAATACAGTTCAAGAAATTATCTTTTATATGTTAATTCAATTTTACTACGTTTCCTAAAGCTTGAGAGGGTGTTGTGTCTTAAAAAAAAAAGGTATTTCCCTCTTTTTTTCCCTTTTTCCTCACACTGTGTTCTGTCAGAGTGAGGCCCTGAAGGTTTCCCTCAGTGGCTTCCATGTCAAATGGATTTATAATGACTAGCGTTGGCTAACGTTTGTTTTGCATTGCGGACGCCGTGACTCATGCGATGCCAAAGTTTTTACAAAGTAGCTGCATTTGATAAGGATTTGTACAGTTTCACCCCCTTAATGTCTACTGGTATATAAATCCTGTCGTATATACACATTTTGGACTGGAACTGGACATAACCCAAGCGCCGTTTTCCCTCTTTATGTTCATGCTAACAGCCTGTTTTATAACATGATGATATAGTCCTAAAAAGATATGAAATAATGTCTTTGAAACTCAAAACTCAACAATCCCATAATTCTATATATTCCTATGACAATACAATCATTTCATGATCTCAAAAAGACCCAAACTCAAGGTAGAAATCGCAAATACAAAAATACAGTTTTTGCAAAGTAGCTGCATTTGATAAGGATTTGTACAGTTTCGCCCCCTTAATGTCTACTGGTATATAAATCCTGTCGTATATACACATTTTGGACTGGAACTGGACATAACCCAAGCGCCGTTTTCCCTCTCCATCTTCATGCTAACAGCCTGTTTTACAACATGACGACATAATCCTAAAAAGATATGAAATAATGTTTTTGAAACTCAAAACTCAACAATCCCATATTTCTATATATTCCATGACACAATCATTTCATGTCTCAAAAAGACTTATTGGCCAAACTCAATGTAGATATTGCCAATACAAAAATACAGTTGTTACAAAGTAGCTGCATTTGATAAGGATTTGTACAGTTTTATCCCCTTAATGTCTACTGGTATATAAATCCTGTCGTATATACACATTTTGGACTGGAACTGGACATAACCCAAGCGCCGTTTTTCTTCTTTATCTTCATGCTAACAGCCTGTTTTACAACATGATGACATAATCCTAAAAAGATATGAAATTATGTTTTTTAAACTCAAAACTCAACAATCCCATAATTCTATATATTCCTATGATACTCAGCATCTACAATCATTTCATGATCTCAAAAAGACTTAATACCCAAACTCAAGGTAGAAATCGCAAATACCAAAATACAGTTTTTATAAGTAGCTGCATTTGATAAGGATTTGTACAGTTTCACCCCCTTGATGTCTACTGGTATATAAATCCTGTCGTATATACACATTTTGGACTGGAACTGGACATAACCCAAGCACCATTTTCCCTCTTTATGTTCATGCTAACAGCCTGTTTTATAACATGATGATATAGTCCTAAAAACATATGAAATGATGTCTTTGAAACTCAAAACTCAACAATCCCATAATTCTATATATTCCTATGACAATACAATCATTTCATGTCTCAAAAAGACTTAATACCCAAACTCAAGGTAGAAATCGCAAATACCAAAATACAGTTTTTGCAAAGTAGCTGCATTTGATAAGGATTTGTACAGTTTCGCCCCCTTAATGTCTACTGGTATATAAATCCTGTCGTATATATACACATTTTGGACTGGAACTGGACATAACCCAAGCGCCGTTTTCCCTCTTTATCTTCATGCTAACAGCCTGTTTTTTTTACAACATGATGACATAATCCTAAAAAGATATGAAATAATGTCTTTGAAACTCAAAACTCAACAATCCCATAATTCTATATATTCCTATGACACTCAGCATCTACAATCATTTCATGATCTCAAAAAGACCCAAACTCAAGGTAGAAATTGCCAATACCAAAATACAGTTTTTATAAGTAGCTGCATTTGATAAGGATTTGTACAGTTTCGCCCCCTTGATGTCTACTGGTATATAAATCCTGTCGGATATATACATTTTGGACTGGAACTGGACATAACCCAAGCGCCGTTTTCCCTCTTTATGTTCATGCTAACAGCCTGTTTTATAACATGATGATATAGTCCTAAAAACATATGAAATGATGTTTTTAAAACTCAAAACTCAACAATCCCATAATTCTATATATTCCTATGACAATACAATCATTTCATGTCTCAAAAAGACTTAATACCCAAACTCAAGGTAGAAATCGCAAATACCAAAATACAGTTTTTGCAAAGTAGCTGCATTTGATAAGGATTTGTACAGTTTCGCCCCCTTAA